ACTGTTATATGTACATATTTTTTTATGTGTATTTAAGTTTGTAATAGAATATATGTGTCTCAAAAATAAAAATTTCAATATTCCATAGTGGAGAAATTGGAATAGTGGGGAAGTTGAAATAGTGGGGAGCGATTTGAGTGGACAGAAAGTGCAATAGTTAAGTAAATACTACTAAATATATAAATTTAACGTTTGAAAAGAATGAAATTTTTACAATTACGTTATAAATCGATTTTGCAGTCATAAAATGTTAAGCTTATACTTATATATATTTATTCTGCATGCAATTTCATGCTTCAGAAATGTAAGCTTGATTAAATTTGATAATATTTGATCAAATATTATTGTTACCTTAGGAAACACGATATCGAGAGGTTCGACTTGACCTTCTTCGGATCCATAATGTGCCAACATTTGTCCAAGACCGAGAAAAGCACCTCCGAGAAACCAGTCGGTCAGATATATTTGCAAAAGAACGTTGATGAAATTGAGAACCTCGCATAGGCCCAAATAATACGCCCATGGTCGATTCAAATGAATACGATTCAGAAAAGCATGGCGAATTTGACGTATTTTGTCGTCGCATTCGTCCTTCGACATGATGCTTATACCATTCTCGGTCTTCAGAGATGTCTCACGAAGAGCCATTGACGCTGTATGCAATCCAGTAACCAACGCTTTTAAACGGCCTCCTGATTTAAGAATTTTACTTTTTTCATTAAATAAATCTTTGTATGACAAACGTTCTTTTTCTAATTAAATTTAAATTTACATATAACGCGTTTTGCTCTTTAACATTATTTTTTATCATTATGTTGTTTGTGCACAAATATACAAAGAAATTGAAAATTCATTTAGAAATGAAATTTGTTTAAATGAGAATCCAGTTTAAGAATTATTAAAAAAAATTGAAAATAGTGATGACCATGTTAAAATTATATTATTCTCAATCGTTCAAATAATTATCATCAAATTATCATATTATTCGAATAAAAACATATGAAAGGAAAAACCAAGAGAATTATTATAATGCACGTTATTATTCTTTTTTAAATAAGAAAATCGAAAGATTAAAAGTTCGTATACTATGCATGCGAAGGTATGCAAGATAGGTTGGTGGATATTATAGCGAGGCTGACCTTCAACATTCCTCCACAGGTAGTGAGGCGCGTAAAAGAAGATCGCCTGAAAAAACAGAACGAAGGGCACCCACTGGTAGTAGGCATGATGTACCACGGAGTCTTCTGAAGTTGCTGGTCCGACGCCAGGATGTGCGATTACACCTAATTCCACCGATGTTTTGTTCAAATGTTTTGTCTAAAAAATTCCATATTATCGTTTCCTTTATCGAAAATATAAAGTTAAAAAATTTTTAGAGATTTTATAAATATTTTTTTTTTTATCGATATTAAAATTTAAGGATTTTTTTTTGCAAAATATTAATACAATCATGGAACAACATTTTGAAAAACAGAAATTCTAGAGATCAAAATAAATGTAAAAATTGTTGTACAAAAATATCAGTTGAGACTTATTTATTATGAGTTATATGTAATTTAAGTTTGTATTGGATGAAGTGAGACGGAGATAGAACGAGAAGAATGGAATGATGGAGATAACCGTCTCGATTCGTTTAATACAAACTTATTTATAATTTAATAGCTATAATAGATATTTTTGCATATTTTTGTATTTGTTTTTCAATAAGATTCTTGTTTTTTTTTTTTTATGAGAAACATTTTTATGCGCAATTAAATAAAATTGAATGTATTATTATTTAATATTTACCACAGTGTAAGTAGACGTGAAAAAGCAGAAAGTGTTGATTACTTTCACTATATCATCGCTCATTCCATGCCCAGCGATACACCTTATCCATAAAACATAACATTGTGTATAATTACCTCTTTTATTAGCAATTTTTAATTGATAAATATATCATAAACGCATTATGTTCTATTTCTTTTTTTTTTTTAATATTATGTAAGAGATAAATAAAAGTCTTAAATTAAACATGATATTATTTAGTTATAAATGTCACGCTTGTAGATTTTCTTCAAATATAAATATTATTTTTATGAAAATATATTTAAATACTTATTTGTATAAAATGTTCCTTTAGCAAAATTATATTTAAAGAATAGAGATATTTTTAGTACAAATTTTGAAAAAAAATATTTTTCTTTATGAAAAAAAAATTTTTTATGTGATAAATTTTTTTTTCAATTGATAATAATACATGTTTAAATTGAATATATATATATATATATAAATTATTATTATCGATTCGAATATATACAATGCTCAATTATATACAATTTCTTATTCTAATTCTTATGAAAATTTAAAAGAAAGAAAATTCTTAACGGAATAATTTTTTTATTAATAACTAATATAAGTATTTTATTATTTTTATAATTTTTTATTTTTATATATAGTTAAATAATTAAATAATTAATTATCGAGATTCCCTCAGATATTAAAGAACAAATATAAATCTCGATTTAAAAAATCCAAGAATTTTATTTGATAACGCACACGAGTACGAGATAAAAGAGAACTTAATCATTAGAACTCTATTATACGATAAAAAACATATCGCTTTATTTATTTCACACATATTTAGTGACATTATTATAGCAATGGATCACTCGAAGCTAATATTAAAAACTAGAGTATTACTCATAAATGTACCTGATATGCTCTCCGATAAATTGTCTAGCTGTTACCAATAGCGTAGCGATCAAGAGCATCAGAAACGTGAATCTATAGTGCATCTTAAAAACTGAATAATGACACCGAATAATCGATTGATTATTATATCGTTAATAAAAATTTCAATAATTAAATTTCAATGAAATAAAGATTACTAATAAAATGAAAAAAAAAAAAAATAACTATTCATATCTCTGTCATCATTTTTATTTTTTACCCAAGTTATCAATGGCCACAGAATCCTGCGAAACCTTCCACTTGACATGGTCCTTGAGGACCGAGAACGTAGCTAAAACGGTCGTCATTTCTTTGAAATAATCTCAAACTATCTCTCCAAATCACGAATCTCTCATCTGTTTCCACTGTTAAAATTCCTCGGTTCCGGATCTAGGCATCCATCGATCAACTTCCGGTATTAAAATTGCGCGAAGATCTCTCACGATGGCAATGTGATCGGTCGATCCAATTTACACTGAACATTCGAAGCTGGTAAATCTTATTTCTCGTTATCAGTGGCCACGATTGCGCACTGGCATCGTGAGTGACAAACGCTTCACGAAACTTCATAGACTCATAACCGTGGTTTCGAAGGTGCGAGTTACAAAGCCACTTATTCACTTAGATAGATAAGACTAGATAATAGATAATATCATGCTTGTTACGAGCAATTTAAAATAAGAACGAGAACGTTATTATTTCATCGAAGATATTTGCCGATTGATCGATCGATTCAATTGATCCCCGATGATCATACATATTGATCGATTCAAAAACGGTTTCATCGCGTTGGGACGTTTCGTTTTTCGACCCTAGCGCTCCAAGAGCATGCGCGTTGACGCGTTCGATATCTCTTGGAGAAAAATATTTTGATTGCATTAATCTTATATAATTAAATGTGAAGTTTAGCAAATAAATTTAAATAAATATGATTAATAAACGGTATATGAAGGATGTGAACATGTTAGATATCTTGAGATCTAGAATAATTTTATTTCTTCACGTAATATAGAAATAAACTTCTCTTTTATTCTGATACAAATTTTATTTATTTTCATATATAAAATCATCTATCAAGTTATATTATATAGTTATAGTTCGTCACACTTTATATGTTATATACGTATGTATATCTTGTTCAATTGATCAATTTGCCACTTTCACGCAAGAATTATTGTCGCGTTAATAATCATTATTTTTACGACTTTTAAATACATTGATCCAATGTATGCAATGACAGAAAGGAAAATATCCACATGTTGATTTCGATGATTAGCACGTAATTCGTAATAAAACTTATGAAACTTTTATCTCTATCATATTGGATGATTTCACAATAATAATCAGTCGGATATAACATCGAGCACAATCATGATGATTAATTATGTTTTATCGAGATGTTTTTTTTCAAAAAATATATGAGATACGCACAATAGTTTTATCGTCGCACTAAAAAAAATCTAAATGATTTTCCAAGTTTTCCAAATTATTAATTTTCTTTTCAACTTCACTCTTAAATTCTATTCTAATAATAAAAGTAACTATTAGTTTATTTCTAATAATAAAGTTATGTATTACGATAAATATTTCTATAACATAAGAAAAAAACAACTCTATTTAATTGTATTTTTTTAGGTTAATTAATCATAATTATCATATTTCATTTTTATTTTTTCTTTTGAAATTGTATTGTATTGGTTGTTCTTCTGCAACTGGAGAATTGTTCAAATATTTTCTTTTATTTTAATTATTAAAATCAATTATATAGCTTATATATATAGCTTAATTTTTAGAAGATTAAAATTTCATGTAGGCCAACAATAAACTTTATGAATAATATATAATGAAAATAACATATATGCATAAAATTTTAATATAAAAAATTCTTCAAAGGCTAGTTTTATTAGATGAATTAATCATTTATCGATCAAATAAAAAGATAATTTGTTAATATGCATAGAGAAGTAAATACCTTTTTTTTTAGATTAAATATAACTAAAGAAATGGAAAGTTAAATAGAAATTTATTTCAATTATCATGATACGTACTATATTTTAAATATCATATGTATTCTGTAGATTTTTGTAAATTTAAATTTTATATAAATGCATAATCATCTCAAAATTACACAATTTATTAATAATTAAAAAAGTTAGAAAATATATTTCAATATTTTTAAAAGTTATATGAATATTTAATTATTAATATTTTAATACTAATTATTATTTTTTTTTTTGTAATTCCGTTATTTTACCTTTTAAATTTATCTATATCAAATTAAAAAATCTGGAAAAAAACTTGAAAATCAAAAATAGAAAATCAATTCGAAAAATATTTCGAAAGCAAATAATCTATATAAAATTGAAAATTTGGAAGAAGAAAAAAACAGGAGGGAACGAAAGTACGGTCAAAATTACAAGCATCGAAGAAGGTTAGGAAAAGTACATAAATGTAGAGGAAAGGAAGGGAAAAAAAGAAAAAAAGAAAAAGACCAAATAAGATAAGGAGACGAGAGGGAACAAGTTTAAGGTGGAAGAGGAGTAAAGTCGCAGGGAAAGGAGGAATGGTGAACAAGAAAGATAGGGAACAAAGAAATGGAGGGGATAGAATGTCGAAGCTAGGACTTTGACCGGCCGTTGCCCCTGATGCGGTCGCTTCTAACCGGCAAACTGAACGGATCTTCTCAAGAAAATTCTGTCCTCTGGTCTCTCAATTCGTGTACATGTATTATACATATCTTGTTCCATCGTTATTTCTTACTATACCTGATCCATTCATTTATAATTCTCGCAAGAGAAAATCGTGAAAGAATTATCGAATAATTAACATTACGTTTAAAATGTGAAAAGTGATTTTAATATATAATCATAAATTATATAAAATAATAAGTAGTAGTCTTAATAATCTTTTTTTTCCAATAAATATATTTTTTTTATTTTATACGTGATAATAAGTAGTCCTCTTTTATATTTTATTTCGAATATTACGTTAGTCATAAATATAAAAATAGTACTGTAAAAATTAGTAAAAGTGAAAAAAATTGAATGATCTACTTTAGAAAGTGCTAACATTTTTTTTATTTTATTTAAATGTAACTTGATCGATAAGCAATGATAAAAATGTTGAAATTTATAAATTTTAAAATTATAAATTTATAAATTTTTAAATATATTTTTCATAATTTGTTAAAAGTTTACATAAAAATCTTATAAAAAATAAATATATTATCTTTTTTTTTAATTTAAAATTTCCTTGCAACACAATGGTATATCGATTTTAAATATTTATAGAGTGTAGTATATCTATTATTACTAATGGTTTTTAACCTTACTTTACTGGAAATAAATTAAAACAAAAATTGGACAGGATGCAATATTTTTTTTTTCACAAAACTATACTGGTATTATTTTATTATCCTCTATACAAAAATTTTTAATATAAAATAGAAATGTTCTTTTATAAAGAAATTTTGCAAAAATTGTTGAATCTAAAAAATACCTCGAACGTGAGATAATGGCTCGATTTAATGTTAAGGCTATGCTTCGAATTATGTATTAATCAGTAAAATGAGAATAATCTTCATGTCCCCTAATGTGATGTAGAGGGAACCGAAATTGGTTGGACCTCGAGCATAGAAGTTCGTTTCGATGATCGTAAATCCCTGACTGGTACACGTGCACGTACAATGAAATCTTTTAGAGAGTGCATAGTTTAATAAATTCCATCCGTAGAATACATTATTGGTTAAATTTACCAAAAATGAACACAGAAGTGACGATATTTTTTTATATGTAATGTGATATTTTTCTTTTCTAGAAAAAATATTTAACTTTTCATAAAAAAGATTTATTATATACCATATATAATATAACATATAATATATATATATATATATATATACTATAATAGTTACTTTTAATTGTGAAATTTTTTAATTCCCTTATAGTTTTTGAAAATTGGTTTTCTTTTTCTAGAAAAATTTTTAATTTTAAAAAAAATATTAAGAAAAATTACATTATTAACCAATAGAATTTTCTTATTTCTTAAAATACTATATTCAATTTCTACCAATAAATTAAAAAAAGATTCAAAAAGTTACTAATAGTAAATTTTTATCATTTACAGTTTTTAATTTTAAAAATTACGATTAATTAAATACACAAAAAAATTTTGTTGAAATAATTAATATATATATATATTAATATAATAAAAATATATATTCTGATAATATTAATTATATCTTTGATATATGAATTCAATTTTTTGACGAACGATTTGTTACTTACCCATACATATATAATTGAAATGATACATATACGGTAATCACGAAGGGAAATATGGTCCTGAAAGTCAGAAATTATGGGAACTACTTAATTACTCGCTGACGTTTTATTTGTTGAATTTTGTAGAACATTCTTATGAAAATATATAGAATATTCTGGCAGTACATTGTTTATGTTCAAGAAGCATTGATGAAAACGCAAATAGCAAAATATACGCTCTCCTTCTTCTAATAACGATTTCATTAAAAATGCAATTTTTTTCGCAGGACGCTTTAATAAAGAGTAACTATCATTATCAACGAGTAAAGAATAGGATATTAATAATAAGGGGGAAAAAAAATATATAACGTGGCAATTGTCATTACTAATCAATTATCACTCGTTATTCCAGCAAATCTGGCTAGCTGGCTTTTTATAATTCTATATATATATATATATATAATATATATATTTTTTTTCTTTATATATAATTGTTTCTCTTATCTTATCGCTTCTACAAGCGCGAGGAAGCACGTACACGCAAGGTACATGTATACGATTACAGGTATATTACGTTTCTTCACTAAGCAGCATTCATTAGAATAGAACAATGCACCGACGCTCTATCACTATATACGAATATAAATTTCATCATTCATTACACCAAAATGCATACGGAATATAGGCACTTTTATTTTTTCCCTTGGTTTTTGTAATAATTAATAATAGTATAAGTTCAGAGTTTGATATTTACTTCTCTTGGGGATTTTCATATTTAACACGTTCCATGTTGATAAAGAAAAGTTTGATAGTATCGGCAAGTTTATTATTATTTTTTTATTATTATTTTTTTTTTTGCAACATAATTAGGGAAAAGAGCAATTTTAGTGATTTGCTGATATTTAAACCTTTTTTTTTAATCTTATCTAATTGATATGTTTATATTGTTAAAAAAATTTAATTTTAAATCGATTATCATAGATAAATAGATATATTTTATAATATGATACGAAACGTGTTAATTAATTATAACCTTTGGAGTACACTTCATATTATATTAGGTTAGATTAGGTTAGAAAACTGCATCCAAAGGCACTGGGATACTAGATTGTTGCTTTTCAGCATTTTTTGATTCTTCCTCTTCCGGTGGATTATT